CAGTGTGTTACAGAGAGTTCTGCAGTTCCCTGTGGTGAATTCAGCCCTCACCAATCTCCAGAAGACGTATGCCAGTGCCAAAGAGATTCACCCCTTGATGGCATCAGTGTGTGCCACTTGTGAGCGGGCCCTCCAGAATGCCAGTTCCTTGGCTCTGTGGAGTGTGAAGCCTGTGATGCACAAGCTGGAGCCTCAACGTAAGTGTTGTACAAGCTTCATTTTGGAAAGGACCCAAACACCCATTTTAATTTCTCCCAGTGTCAGCTGCTTTAATCTCCAGAGTCCACTCTGTAGTGCCATCGGTTGGTGCCTTGCTGACACATATTCTGGATCTTCTGGGGGAGAATCAAATAATTACAGTCCATTTTTCTGTGACTTGATAAGTGAATAAATATTTAGCATTTTATTTGATTACAATTCTTTGGTACCTTAGTGCCTTTGATTTCCCACCATGGCTAAACTGTTGCTATGTAAGGCACATTGTGGAAAATATAATATTCCATATAATGATGATGATGATGATGATGATGATGATGATGGAAGGGACCTTGGAGGTCATCTAGTCCAACCTCCTGCTCAGGCAGGAAACCCTATACCATTTCAGACAACTGGCTGTCCAATCTCTTCTTAAAGACTTCCAGTGTTGGAACATTCACAACTTCTGGAGGCAAGTTGTTCCACTGATTAATTATTCTAACTGTCAGGAAATTTCTCCTTAGTTCTAGGTTGCTTCTCTCTTTGATTAGTTTCCACCCGTTGCTTCTTGTCCTGCCTTCAGGTGCTTTGGAGAATAGCTTGACTCCCTCTTCTTTGTGGCAGCCCCCCCCCAATATTGGAAGATGCTATCATGTCACCCCTCATCCTTCTCTTCATTAAACTAGACATTCCCAATTCCAGCAACCGTTCCTCATATGTTTTAGCCTCCAGTTCCCTAATCATCTTTGTTCCTCTTCTCTGTACTCTTTCTAGAGTCTCAACATCTTTTTACATCGTAGTGACCAAAACTGGATGCAGTATTTCAAGTGTGGCCTTACCAAGGCATTGTAAAGTGGTATTAACACTTCACGTGATCTTGATTCTATCCCTCTGTTAATGCAGCCTAGCACTTGTTGACTTTTTTGGCAGCTAGTTCCATAAAGTTCTCTTCTTTCCCTGATCCATGCTGTACCTTTACCAGGCCATTCCAAGGTAGTTCAGAGATTTCCCAGAAGTCCCCAGACTGGTAGCATTGAAGTTTCATGACATCTGTCCAGCTGTTTCATGCCATGCCATATCCAGAATACCTTTAACGACTTCCAGTTGCAAACTTTACTTCTGGATAACCATCAAACAACCTCTAGAATGATGTAGTCCAGAAGAGGAATGGAACGTATTAGAATTCTCCAAAATGCTCTATTCTCCAAACTGAAAGTTGCATATAATTACAATATATGATGAGGAATGCACTTTGTAACATGATAGCATGTATTGTAACTCTAGTTTAGTGCACCACTCAAACATAGTCTGTGAATCTTGGTGAAATTTGTGTGAAGATACAGGGGAATCAATTAGTCCAGTGGCTGACCCTCCCTTCTGTTCCAGTACTGTTTTAACATTCTTCTCTCTCTTTTTTTGGTTCAGTTGCGGCAGCCAATGTTTTGGCATGTCAAGGTTTGGAACATTTGGAGAAGAAGATACCTATCCTTCAGAAACCAGTGAAGGAAGTAAGTAAAATAATAATAATAATAATAATAATAATAATAATAATAATAATAATAATAATAANGAAGAAGAAGAAGAAGAAGAAAACTATCTTGCTGAATTAAACCAAGATTGTAACCTGGCTGCACTTATTTTATTCTGGACCCATGTTCCAAGTATACAGTAGCTCTCATCTCAAAAATGACTTAAATGTTGACTTAAATGTTGGTGCCTTAAATGTTGACTTAAATGTTGGTGCATTTCGTGACTTACTGTAAATGTTGGTGCCTGTCTAGAACAGTGGTCTTCAGACTTGGCCCTTTTATGACTTGTGGACTTCAACTGAGGCATTCTGGGAGTTGCAGTTCACAAGTCATAAATGGGCCAAGTTTGAAGATCCCTGGTCTAGAAGCTGCTAAGCTCTCTTCTGGACAGCTCCTTCTTACTATTTACCTGTCTGCTACTTCTACCAGACAGATCCACTGTCTTGCCTGAAAACATAAAATGGTCCATAATAAAGAACTTTCTTCATTATCTCCTCTTCCTCAGGCTACCTCTGATTTGAAGGACACCATTCTAGCTCACCTTCACTACGTGTTATGTTCTGTCATGGACATCCTGGACAAAGTCTTAGGACTGTCTGCTGAAAATAATGAGCAATCCAAGAACAGCCTGAGGGTCAAGACAGAGAATGTGAAGAGGAGTCAAGAGAACCAGGTGGCCAAAACCTCTGCGGTCGGCAAGCTGGAGAAGGTGGTGGATTGGACAACGGAGCCCAATTCAGGTTAATATAGTGCTTGGTTGATCTATTGTAAAAAGAAATCTCATTTTGGAGCTGAAAAACTTCAGCTCTTTAAATTCATATATGCACCCCAGTTTTCTGATTAGCAAGATGTTTCGGGATTGTAGTATTTGCTCCTCAATGGAGATTGAATGGCACTGTTATTTTTATTGATTTCTAAAGAGTCTAGTTGGACATAGGTGGACCTCCATAAATACCTCAAAGTGTTTGCTCCATCCCCTAGTTCTAAGGAGTTTGCCAGCACAGGTTATCTGCCCAATTTGTTCTCCTAATAGACTGTTTCAAGATCCTCTTCTCCTACCTTTTTATTCTTCGTCTTTAAACTGGCCAGACGTTAAACAAATAATGTTTTCAAATAGAGGATTGTCCTACGCAAAGTAGAGGGGGCCTTAGCTGTTCTTGACACAAGAGGATAACGGTGGTGTTCAATTTATTATTACAGCCGAAGGCCAACACATAAATTAAACATTCAAATAAAACAAAACTAAACAGAACCAACACAAGAAGACATAGCAATATATTACCATTCATGATGTAATCAGCCAAGGTCTGCCTAGTTTTACAGACAGTATAAAAAAAACTAGCTAGCGTCAGAAAAACTGAGTCATACTGACCTGTCAATAAAAAATACATTGACTATAGTCTAATGCTGGATAAAAAAAACATGTAATAAAATTGATTATAAAAGATTATGAAAAAGATCTAAAATGTTTATTTATGTTTCTGGCGAATCCCCAGTGCTGCTGCACAGACTCTAACCACCTGCGCCGTGATCACTGCCTGCTCGTCCTTAAGCAGCCACTGGAGATACATACTTTCCGAACGACCAGGATACCTATCAATTATGGGGAGGATATATTAGGATTTCCTAATAGTTTTATAGAAGGAACATCGAAGGAGTATGTGTCCAATGGTCTCCACCTCTCCTGAGCCACAGGAGCAGAGTCTTTCAGCCAATGGTGTCTTTTTAGACTTGCCGTACAGGACGGCCGATGGAAACGCATGGGACTGTGCAAGCAAGAATGCTTTCTACTGATTTACTGACTCCAACTGACTAAGATACCTGGCAGGTGTAACCACGTATCTAATAGAGTCTGGAGCCAGAAACAGCAGAGCTATACTTAAGTGACTGTGGTATTGTCATGAGAGCATGTTTATCTTCCTACATTTGAGGGGAGGGAGCGTGCTGCTAGCCTCGTCCCTTTGCAGAACTCAAGAGCAGTGTTTTATTTTTTCTTTTTTTAATTTTATTTATAATACAATTAAAAAAACATTGGATGTAACGTGACATTCCAGTATATACATTCTTATCAAATTATTCCACATTTTACAATCGGTTCTTCATCTCTAAATATACATCTAGGTTTTATATACAATACTTATCCTAAAATGACATATATTTCTATCTTAATGCTAATCTTTAATCCCAACCGTCCTCCTCGAATCTCTCCAGCAGTAAAAAAATTTCCCAGGTTTCGAAGTAAACTGATCCACATTTGTCTTTCAAAACCATTGTTAGCCTGTCCATTTCCGCACATGCTAATATTTTCAACCCTAGCAACTTTAAGATACTGTATGTGGACTTCAACTCCCAGAATTCCTCAGCCAGCAAAACTGCTGAGATAAAGAAACACTGCTTTAGACTATAACTGCAGTGGGATGGAAAGGCTGGTGAAGATGATGGAACTTGCTGAGATGACTAAATTAACTTCTTTGATACAAAAAAAGGAGAATATGTTAATTACATACTGGAAACTTTTTATGGACTTTTTGCATAAAACAGGTTTATAGTTCTGATGATTAGACAGAACAACTTCTAAAAAGAAAAGAATTGTGTTGTTATGTTGTAACCATTGAGTAAGAGGTAAATTTATAATTGTACTTATGACTGCTGTAAGAAATATTGGAAACTACTTCTTAGTATCTTTTTTTCTCTATTTTTCTTTTTATTTCTGTTACTTTTTTTGCACGTAGCTCTCTCGTTGTTTTCTTTCTTTTTCTTACCTTATATTAGTTTGTATTAGCATTTGTCTTCCTTTTAAAAAATCTTTAATAACATTATATAAACATAGAATGTAAATTAGGCAGTTTTGCATCTCTGCCACAGTCTGAACTAAAAAGTGACACAAATTAGATTGAGGATATAATCTGTCATTTATTTGCGCTTCGTTGTTTGGGTTCCACTCAAAATATTGTATCCAAATAAAGAGAGAGAGAGAGAGAGAGCATCTTTTATTTTTGCTTTTTTTAAAAAAGAAACAACATATGTTGTTTGGCATCCAGAGCTTTCCCTTTGATGAGATGCTCATCTTGTTAGTTTTATAAACCCATTTTCTTTATCAGAAGTTAAAGCTGGGTATTTACTGGCTTCAGAATTTGAGTGTTGTAGTCCTGAATTTTTTTTTAAAGACATTTTGGAGTTGGCTAACAAAGTCAGGTTATATGATGGAACGGCTTCCCTTCAGAAGTTGTGGGTGCTCCATCACTGGAGGTTTTTTAAGAAGAGATTGGGACAATCATCTGCCTGAAACAGGCTAGGGTCTCCTGCTTGAGCAGGGGGTTGGACTAGAAGACCTCCAAGGTCCCTTCCAGCTCTATTCTGATTGATTGGTTGCAGTTTCTTAGGCTCCAGTACCCCTATTTTCACAAGTTGTTGTTGTTAGTTGCGAAGTCGTGTCCGACTCATCGCGACCCCATGGACAACGTTCCTCCAGGCCTTCCTGTCCTCTACCATCTTCTGGACTCTATTTAAGCTCAGGCCTACTGCTTCAGTGACTCCGTCCAGCCACCTCATTCTCTGTCGTTCCCTTCTTCTATTGCCCTCAATCTTTCCCAGCATTAGGCTCTTCTCCAGTGAGTCCTCCCTTCTCATTAGTTGGTCAAAATATTTGAGTTTCAACTTCAGGATCTGGCCTTCTAAAGAGCAGCCGGGGTTGATCTCCTCTAGGGCTGACCGGTTTGATCGCCTTGCAGTCCAGGGGACTCGCAGGAGTCTTCTCCAGCACCTTAGTTCAAAGGCCTCAATTCTTTGGCGCTCAGCCTTTCTTATGGTCCAACTTTCACAGCCATACATTGCAACTGGGAAAACCATGGATGGCCTTGACTATACGTACTTTTGTTGGCAGGATGATGTCTCTGCTTTTTAGTATGCTGTCTAGATTTGCCATAGCTTTCCTCCCCAGGAGCAAGCGTCTTTTAATTTCTTGGCTGCAGTCCCCATCTGTGGTGATCTTGGAGTCCAGGAAAATAAAATCTGTCACTACCTCCATTTCTACTAAAATACCAAATATTGGCCTTGACTATACGTACTTTTGTTGGCAGGATGATGTCTCTGCTTTTTAGTATGCTGTCTAGATTTGCCATAGCTTTCCTCTCCAGAAGCAAGCATCTTTTAATTTTTTGGCTGCAGTCCCCATCTGTGGTGATCTTGGAGCCCAGGAAGATAAAATCTGTCACTACCTCCATTTCTTCCCCATCTGTTTGCCAGGAATTGAGAGGGCCGGATGCCATGATCTTGGTTTTCTTAATGTTGAGTTTCAAGCCAACTTCTGCACTCTCCTTCTTCACCCACATCAAGAGGCTCTTTAGTTCCTCTTCACTTTCTGCTATTAGAGTGGTATCATCTGCATATCTTAGTTGTTGATATTTCTCCCAGCAATCTTAATTCCAACTTTTGATTCATCTAGCCCTGCCTTCCACAAGAGGGTGCTAGAAACATTCCTACCTCCGTTTCTTTGAGGTTGTCAAAGAACTTGCTGGACTTGAGTTCAACACCACACACAAACTTGCCCCATTTGGAACAGCAACATTTTCAAAATTATAAGTTATAAGCATTGCTGAGGGAGAGCTTTCTTTCTCACACAAGCAGAGAAAGTGATGTTGCATTGTTCCTAGATTGACACTGACAGACAGCACTCAAAGATCTGAGGGGTCAGTGCAGGGTACGCTGCTTGGAAGACTGGATTGTAAAGAGATGACATTAAATTATGTTATGTGAGCTACCGAAGTATCTGCTTGTTCCCCATCATCCGTAATCAAGTCTTCTCATAGGCAGAGATGCTTGGATGACATAGAACAGTGGTTCTCAACCTTTTCTTCCCCACCGACACTCTTTAAATACCTTTTGTGGCCACAGACCATGGCCACAGACTCCCAAGCCTTAGGGTAAATCAAGATTTAAATCATAATATTTCTTCGAGTCTTCATGGGCTTCCTTGAGGACCTCATGGGCTCCCCCCCCACAAGTTGAAAACCATTGACATAGAATGCATGGAATCATTTAACATCTTTAATCAGTTGAAGAATAACGGTCTGGCTTATTAATTATACATTTTTTCCCATTTCTTGCGTGTAGTCTACAAGTCTCCATCGGGATGTGTATCGGAAAAGATGTCTCCTCCCAGCACCTTTGGAAGCATTAAATCCTTAGCTGTTGCTGTTTCCGAGCTTGCTTTCAGACAGACATCCCAAGCCATCCAGGTTACTAAGGACAAAGGAGTGAAACTGGCTATGTGCATCTCATATTTGGTAAGTGCCATATAAAGTTGCATATGTTGCTGAACTAAAAAGTGCCTTAACAGTAAACAACAGTTTTATTGTCTTTCTGTCTGTCTGTCTGTCTGTCTGTCTGTCTGTCTGTCTGTCTGTCTGTCTGTCTGTCTGTCTGATCAAATTTATATAGCTGCCCATCTCACAAGAAATTACTCTGGGTGGCATATAAGTTCAATTTATAGTTTTTTTAAAAGAAAAGAAAAGAGAACTCTCTCCAGATCTTTCTCCAAGATCTGTAGCTGTTCCAGGGGCACAGAATATAGAGACTAGAGCTTGTGTGGGTTATTTGGAGTATGGAATGAGAATTTCTCAGCACTTCAGGTAGATTGTTGTTGTTGTTGTTAGTTGCAAAGTCATGTCCAACCCATTGTGACCCCATGGACAACGTTCCTCCAGGCCTTCCTGTCCTCTACCATCTTCTGGAGTCCATTGAAGTTCACGCCTACTGCTTCAGCGACTCCATCCAGCCACCTCATTCTCTGTCGTCTCCTTCTTCTATTGCCCTCCATCTTTCCCAGCTTTAGGCTCTTCTCCAGTGAGTCCTTCCTTCACATTAGGTGGCCAAAGTACTTGAGTTTCTCAGGTAGATTACTGTGCAAATTGAAGGAACACGTAACACCTTGGCTGCGGGAACTACATGTTGCTTCCAGGTCCAGTTCAAGGTGTTGGCCAAAGCCCTATATGGCATGGGGCCAAGTTACCTTGGAAACCATCTTATCCTGATTATGTCAGCCCATCTTACCGAGTTAGTAGGGAAGATATGCTATGGATCACATCGGTTAAAGCAGAAGTTTCTAAACTTGACCATTTTAAGACTTGTGACTTCCCTGGATTGGCAGTGGAATTGTGGAAGTTGAAGTCTACAAGTTTTAAAGTTGCCAAGTTTGAAAGAATTTCAAACTGGCAGGGTCAAGGAAGGGGACCTTTTCTGCCACGGATCCCGCTCTCTGGAATACTTCTTTTCCCCCCCTCGCCAAGATGAGGAGGCCCTGATCTGCTGGTCTTTCATAGGACTTTAAAGACTTGGCTTTGCCAACTTTCATGGACCTCATTGAGCAGGATGCAACCCTGGAGCCAGTTGGCACTTTGATCGCCTTCTCCTCACCTTTTAACTTTTAACATATTTTATTCTTGTTCTTATCTGGCTCTCTTTTTTGTTTGAGGTATTGTATTTTATATGGGTTTTAGATTTTTATGTTTTAATTGTACGCATTGCAATTAATGCGAGCCAGATGGGCAGTCTTCAAATTCAACAAATTAAAAAAAAAGTTTGCATTTATCTAGAAGGCGAAACCAGGGTTTTAGTGAAGTTTGGATCCTTTTGGCTCACTGGCAACATAATCCTTGCTCAGCTATTTCCTAGATTCTCTGCATTCCATTTCCTGAGCCACTATCCGGATTTTGAGCAGACAAAATAAGTCTGGATTCACGGTTCAGAAAGCAGGACAAGCCCTGGCTAAAATGCTATCGCTTAGAAACCAATTGATAGGCCCTGCTTTCAGACTATGTCCCTCTTTCCCCGTTATGGGTTTTGTTTTCCCTGCAGAAAGAGGGTTGGCATTTGGCCCCATTCTTTTCTGAAGGAAACTCAGGGCGAAGAAATTCTAACTCAGCTGCCTCCTGTTTTGAGACTGGAGTCTGATCTTTAGTAAAGATCCTTTTCCATTTCTGGGAGATTAATTTGGAGGTGAAGGTGAAAAGGCTGCTTTATTTTTAACTGGCTCTATAGTAATTCATGGATTTGATTAACATCTTTCCCAAAATCCATTGGGACTACTGATTTTAAACAGGAAGATAAATGTGTAAACACACTCAAACACACACAAACGAGAGAGCGAGAGAAAGAGGGAGGGAAGGAGGGAGGAAAGGAAGGAAGGAAGGAAAGAAGGAAGGAAGGAAGGAAAGAAGGGAAGAAGGAAAGAAGGAAGGAAGGAAGGAAGGAAGGAAGGAAGGAAGGAAGGAAGGAAGGAAGGAAGGAAGGAAGGACTGGATTTTGTATGTTTCTTCAATTTGATCCATTGAAGCCAAAACCAGAGAGATTTTGAGACTGATTTAAAAAGATGTGTTCAACCAATGCATAATTAATTGTAAGATGTGGCCACTGATTGGGCTGACTTGAAAAAGAGACGCAACAGATGCAAGGAGAACAGCTTGCATGGCTGAATGCCACCCACTGAATCCCAGGCATTGTGTTCTTAGTCTCAGTGACTAAACGGGAACAGTGGAAGAGAAGTGCTTGTCCAGTTCTAGCTTAGGAACTTCCTGGATGCATCTGTTCAGCCATTTCTGGCAAGGGATGCAGAACAAGACGGATTCTTATTCAGATCCAACATGCCGTTGAAGAAGAACTTTCCTATATTCTGAAGTGGAAAGGGGAAGTATCTCAAATGGGGAAACACATGTTTGATTTTGGTCTCTAGCATCTTCTCTATGAAACCTTGGAGGTAAAGAAGAACTTTCTGATTGTAAGAATTGGACAAGAGTAGGACAGGCTGCTTATGAAGATTGCAGGTTCGTCATCGCTGTAGGTTTCTAAGAAAAGGCTAGCTAGCCACCTTTCTGAACTGTTTTAATTGGTTTTCTTGCATTTGGCTGAGAGATCTGTGCGATTCCTTCCAATTCTGTGATTCCGTAGTGAATCATCTCCAGCCGTCAATGTAGACATGTGAACCACAGATCTGATTTGGCACATGGAGACGCCTGAAGCTCAATTCTTGAGCTTTCCCATAGTATGAAAGGCAGTTGAAATTCATAGAGGATATGTATAAAAGCTCATATTCAGAGGTAGCACATTGTAGAATACCCAATTGGTGGCAATGTAGGCCCCATGTAGCAGCATCTTTATTTTTGGGTGAAATGAGAAAGGATAATAAACAATATGCTACATTCAAAACCTTGATGGGCAATATTGATGGGCAATATTCAAGATGGCCAGACAGATCTTGTTCTGATGTCCTTTTCCTTTTATGTTTGTTTTTCCTTTCTCTTGTTCTTGCAACATTATTTTTTTTCTTTCTCCCTTGTTCTAGCATTCTTTCACGCCTATAGTTTTCCCTTCTCATCCCAATATCCTTTCTTTTTGCGTTTGCATTCTGCCATTTCTTTCTCGTTTCTTTTCCCCACCTGGCTGCTAAGGGAGGAATACATTACTCTTGCCTAGAATTTAAGTCACAACTGTCAGCATTTCAGACGGGAGCGCTTCCAGTCCTACCCTGGGTTGCTGAGAAATAAATCTAGCAACACATGTCAGCTGTGAGCTGTATCTAATCCCTAATATTCTAGTCCAAAGTAGCTTTCATCCTCCAACTAACCACTAACTAAACTAAATAATCCTTGAGTGTCCCACCTGATGAAAAATACATGCAGTCAGTTGTTACCCTTTGCTCATCAGGATCCTAGACCAGGAGTCCCCAACCCCCGGTCTGTGGACCAGCACCGGTCCGCGGCATGCCAGCAACAGGACCGCATAAACAAGCAAAGCCCCAACTACGGGATGCAGGCAGCACATAAAACCATCCAGTCCATGGAAAAAACTTTCTCCACAGAAACAGCCCCTGGTGCCCAAAAGGTTGGGGGCTGCTGTCCTAGACTATAACAGGAAAGCAAGCTAGTTATTAAATAGCTATTAAAAGCAGCCATTTTTGACTGAGTTGGCGGTCGGTTGCTGAGTTCACACCACATGCTAAATCTCTGTTGAGGAGGAACCAAGTACAATGTCTGTGTTATGCTTGAGAGGCTTAAACAAAGTGATGGCTCAGCAGGATAGTCTGATTCACTGTACTATACCTTGTGAGTTAAGTTCCCGTAATGTATACAATTTTAGTCGAGCAGATTGGGCAAAATCAAACATTATTCTTCTTTCTTTTCCCCAAAGGAAACACACAGGGGAAGTCCAGACAAGCAAATGTACATAGGCCACTCACTCTTTGAACTCCCTACCAACCAAGAATAGAAAACAACGTTCCCGAAGGACTATGTCAAAAAAGGCAAGGGATTTTGAGTTGTATCAAAGTCCCGGAAATGCCAATGTTATTGATAGTATGACCCCCAAGTCTGGTGGAAAACATAGATTTTGGGAAGAGAAAATAATTCATTAAATCACCAGGGATCTCTGTCTCTCTCTCTCTCTCTCTCTCTCTCTCTCTCTCTTTCTTCCATTTTCCACTCACTAGTTCACCTTCCCAAGGATTGTGATGAAAGAAGAGGAAACAATGGGGGCGGTTCCGCCAGAGTCTTGGCAAGAACCAGATGGGGTCCAGTTTGTTACTCCTGAGAGCAAGAAGCTGCAAGAAAGACGATCCAGTCGGGGTCATTATCCTCTTCCATTCCTCAATCTTGATGAGCCCCTCACCCTTCATGAAAACCCACCCTTGGAAGCTGAGTCTACTGTGGCCCGGAAATCTGCTTTCTCCTCTTACAAGGAGGGATCCAGCAGAAGGAGATGGAGTGAGGGGCTGTTCCGTCCTAGCCTAGAAGCCACCTACATAAGGGCCCACTTTGCAGGACTCTATAGCGCTGCTGTCAAGAAAGAATAAGCTAGTGAGTGGGTTTGCTCATTATGCTAAACTAGGATTTGTTAAGTATGAATTGCTACCCCGAGTGTGCTTTTCCAAAAGGCAACTGGACTTTCTGGGTTTTTTTTTTTCCTTTGAAAACGTTTCGCTTCTCATCCATTCTTCACTTCTTGGATAAGGAACAAAACGTTTTCAAAGAAAAAAAAAACCCAGAAAGTCCAGTTGCCTTTTGGAAAAGCATGTCTGAGATAACCATGACCTGGATGATTGAGAATTTCCATAAACACTTATGATTTGCTGTTAGATGACTTCACACAACAGTCTAAACTACAGTTCAGCAGCTCCAAAGGCTGAGATCTTATATCACACCTAGCTATGGCTTGCAAAATCACAATTGACACCCAAAGCCATGAAACGTGACTTGACAAATCACCATGGCTGGAGTCACGCAATTCACAAAAACAACATGCTGGTTTGGGCTCTGCTAACGAAGCAACTGACAACCCAAATTTTCTGCTTAATTTACTGCTGATGTGTAACTTAGTTTAAATCTCCCCCGTGACCCTCATGCGCCATCTGCTCTTTTAATGCCAGCTTTATTAGTACAGCATTCAAAAAATTCTCCAATAAAATAACCAACTTTTACTGGCTTTCTGAGGACAGTTCCATGCTTCTCCGACAATTGTTCCAAAGTACATTGAAGGTAGCTTGATTTCTTGTTTATTCAAAATTGATGGTTTTGAAGGAGGCGAGAGATGAGGGTTGCAACTGTGGTATGAGTTAAATTCTCTCTCCATCCTCGTGCCATTATTGTGACAAAAGCATCCGTCTTTCTCTGAAAGAGATGGAACAAGCTGTGAGGCAGATTGGTGGAAATGCTTGCTGAAAGTCTCCAGGTGAGGACCATTGTCAGGACCTGAACGTTGGTTTTCTCCAGTCCAAATTATTAAACCGTTAACTATTACAACAGCTGCATCCTGCATCCAGTTATGTATTGTATAGCTTCCCAATCCTTGTTGAGTTTTTCTGCCTTTGGTATCTATAAATAGGGCTGGTTTGTGTGTGGTGTAGCCTTGGCAGAGAAATTAACATCTAAGTCTTTGGAGCCCAGTATGACATTTAACAGCAGCAGGGAAAAAGAACATTTTACTTATCTTCACGTCTACTGTTATGGCAGATCTCTGCTTAATCTCGTTACTGGTGTCTTCCAAACCTCATCAGATGAAAGAAGTAACCAATTTGGCTTTGATGTGTCTGCTTGTGACCCTCTAGCTGCATGATGAACAGAAATTAGATAAACTGGGCTCCCGTCCCCTCCCCTGAGACTCCTGTATGTGTGATTCGCTTCCAATATTTGGTATTTTAGTAGAAATGGAGGTAGTGACCGATTTTATTTTCCTGGACTCCAAGATCACCACAGATGGGGACTGCAGCCAAGAAATTAAAAGACGCTTGCTCCTGGGGAGGAAAGCTATGGCAAATCTAGACAGCATACTAAAAAGCAGAGACATCACCCTGCCAACAAAAGTACGTATAGTCAAGGCCATCCATGGTTTTCCCAGTTGCAATGTATGGCTGTGAAAGTTGGACCATAAGAAAGGCTGAGCGCCAAAGAATTGAGCCTTTGAACTCTGGTGCTGGAGAAAACTCCTGCGAGTCCCCTGGACTGCAAGGCGATCAAACCGGTCACTCCTAGAGGAGATCAACCCCGACTGCTCTTTAGAAGGCCAGATCCTGAAGTTGAAACTCAAGTACTTTGGCCACCTAATGAGAAGGAAGGACTCACTGGAGAAGAGCCTAATGCTGGGAAAGATGGAGGGCAAGAGAAGAAGGGGACGACAGAGAAGGAGGTGGCTGGATGGAGTCACTGAAGCAGGAGGCGTGAGCTTAAATGGATTCCAGAAGATGGTAGAGGACAGGAAGGCCTGGAGGAATGTTGTCCATGGGGTCGCGATGGGTCGGACACGACTTCGCAACTAACAACAACAACAGGATTCAGACAAACACGAATAAGCAGAAAGACAATAAAGAGGAACAAAGAGTAAAAATTCAATGACGGATTGAACAAACTGGTTTAGGCACCAGCTTTAGAGAAGACTTTCCGGGGAGAGAGAATAGTAGTTGCATAGACTCCAAGGACATGAACAGTAGTTGCATAGAAGAAATTCATGATAGCTAATGTCCCATCATATAGCAAAGACAAATCAAGTTACAGGAAAGCTATTTCTGACTAAATGTTAGGAAAAACATTTTAGAAAATGGTAAGAGCAACTGGTCAGTGAAATCAGGAACCAAAGCAAGGTGGATTTCCTTAACTGAACATAGGTTGGAGAAATCGTGTGTTCTTTTTTCCTTATGGTTCTTCAATATAGAAGGGGGGGGGGACTGGAGAATGTACCTAAAATCTGGAGATCTTGAGCTAAAAGAGGTACAAATATATCCATTTGAATTGAACAAACTATGGACTGGAAGTCTTTACATTCGGGTTCCATATCTAAGCCATCACTTGGGATCAATAATTCCTGTTTATGCCTTTGTGGGTCTGGTTAGGTGACGGGAGAGGAAGCAGAGCTAAATGAATTTTGCAACCCTTGTCCCCGACTGTCTCAATCTTGGGCATTTCTCAATCAGTACTGTAAATACACAAGCATCCCATAATTCTCAAGGACTGAAAAAACCCGATGGATGTACAATCAGAGTAAATGCTGGAGAGCCGGAATAAGAAACGGTAGAAAACTCTTGGTTTTTGGCTATGCAAAGAGCACGAGAGGAGGGATTGAATAAAGCTAGGACAGGGGTAGGCAACCTTGGCTCTTTTATGACTCATAGACTTCAACTCCCAGAATTCCTGAGCCAGCCATGCTGAGGGGAAAGGGAGAGGTTTCCAAGATGGATAGTCTTCAACTCCTGGAATTTGTAAAGTGGTCATACTGATTGGGGAACTCTGGATAGAGTACGCAGTAGGGAAACCTGAACTGGATTTAATTTTATTATTTCATTTATATCCTGCCTTTATTATTTTTACAACTTAAGGCAGTGAACATTCCTAATCCTTCTCCTATTTTCCCTATGGTAACAATCCTAGGAGGTACGTTGGGCTGAGAGAGAGAGAGAGTGATCAGCCGGAAGTAGTTTTTCTGGCTTTCAAGCATAAGGTGAGACTAGAACTCACGGTCTCCTGGTAATTGGCCAATTGGTGTTCATGCCTAAAGTGGGACTAGAATTCACAGTCTCTTGGTTTTTAGCCTGGTGCTTTAATCTCTAGACCAGGAGTAGGCAACCTTGGCTCTTTTCTGACTTGTGGACCTCAACTCCCAGAATTCCTGAGTCGGCATGGCTGGTTCAGGAATTCTGGGAGTTGAAGTCCACGAGTCATAAAAGAGCCAAGGTTGCCTACCCCTGAGCTAGGAAGACAAATAACTTTCCTGCTCAATTCTTCTGGAACAGTAGCAAAGGGGAGAGGGCTTGGGCTTAAGTAATGTGGGTGTTGGATTAAACTCTAGGGCTGAAAGATTAACTGCATGAACTCATCTTTGTCTTTTGGCTGAAAACATAATTGGCCTGCTCTGGTGTGGGGGATCTGAATCACAATCCATCGGGCTAAATGTTGCTGGGCTTAAAGTGATTTAAAATCTCCCGGCAGAGGTCTTTTCAGGCATGTTTACAATACTGTAATGCAGCAAATCATTTGTTGTATACACCATGCACCATTTGATTTAAACCAGGACCGTATAGCCAATAGCTGGAAAGAACAGTTTATCCAGCAAGCACAAGAAAGTCAGGAAAAAATGTGAGGGAGCAGCTGCAGACAAAAAGGTGCATGTCAAATAGGGAACGTTCCTACCTCAGAAGGCGTACTTGGCTACCTGTCTCCAGGTGTTTCCCCCCCCCAGAAACCAGTGATGGTTGGAATTCCAGGTAGGAAGGGATGTGCAGCTTTTTCTCATTCTTACTTATATACAGCAATAGTACCTAGACTTATATACCGCTTCATAGTGCTCTAAGCGGTTTACAGAGTCAGCATTATTTGTCCCCAACAATCTGGGTCCTCATTTTACCAACCTCAGAAGGATGGAAGGCTGAGTCAGCCTTGAATCCCATCAGGATCGAACTCCAGACTGCATTCTAACCACTGCACCACCACGGCTCATATATATCCTTCATGGTTTTCCCTGTCAGCTTATGGGACTTCAAGAAAAGTGCAAGGAAAGACATGAAATGATTAAAGCAACTACAGGTCGATACCATTCCATTCATGGTCCCTGTCCTAATTTTTCTCTTCTTGCAAGCTACCTTAGCCTCTGCCACATCCATGTACAGACTTATAACAGTTTATTGACTTTTGAAGTTACGATGGCATTGAAAAAAGCGACCATTTTTCACACTTCAACGACCATTGCAGCATCCTCATGATCAAAATCCAGATGTTTGGCGGTTGCAGTGTCCTGAGGTCATGTGATCAACTTTTGCAGCCTTCTGACAAGCAAAGTCAAGGTATATTGACCTTCCCATGTATATACTTCATATATTCTATAAGTATTGCTTTTTAATCCCCTCCCTGCCACAAATAAACCATGAAGTTAAAAATGCCCAACTAACAGATGTGTGCAGGTCGTTTTTTTTATTTCCTTTTCAAAACCAAAATACATCACATACACATTTATTTACACATTGATTATGCTGTAAAAGCATCAAAAGTAGGGAATAAGAATGATTGGATCTCAAAGATCCGAGCTGAGTATTCTGTAGGCGAAATAATCAAAGTTGACTTTGCTTTGAGGAACAGCTGTGGTACAGCTCAATGCTCAGGACTCCTTTTTAAAGTTTAGGACTTAACTCCAAACTTTAAAAAGTAAAAAGGGCACCAGAAAATTGTGTTTTGTTAAGTGCCGTTAGTAGACCCTTAAATCATGATTGGGTCCATATGGCTTGCCACAGCTTGTGGGTTTCTCCTACAAACTATGGCTTTATCACAAAAGTAATTAAGATGTTGAAGGACTTGGAGGCATGAACATATTCTC